AAATGCAAGGACCTTCATTCTGAAATGTAAAGCTGAAAACATTCATTGGTCATGAGAAAGGGGAAGCTGCCGGTGGATGTGGCTCTTACCATCTTCTCGCATTTATATAGTGCTTTCAAGCATTGCAGTTGACATTACGGGGATAGTTTGCAATGTGGTCTCAGTGAAGCCTTGCCATTTCAGCTGCTGCTCTGTCTGACTCTGCGGTGATATATGTTGCTATTGTGAAAAATACTGTAAACGCCGTTGTGAAAACTAATCGATTAGTAGCTCTGCGTCAGCCGCACGCGTTTAAAAAAAGCGTAAGAGCTTTTGGCGACACGAACAGCTGGGATAACGAGAGATTTTGATACGCGATCCAGCCACATAGCTTTCTTTCTCCGATACCGGAACTCGAGCTTCAATGTATCCTTATAACTCGGAGTGCATCAATGCACATCCTGTTTTTGCGGCATTCTATCAATAACTTGACGCATAAATTGTAGGTACAGATAATCGCTTTGAAGGCAGTGAACAGTATAGCTGGAGGGGCATGATTTCGATGCCGTCGTTTGGCGTCATTGGTGGAAGGGCATTGCAAGTTACTCCGGCAACTTTCATGTTTCATTTTATACTGGTTTAATGAGGTGTCGTAGTCCACACTCCATGGGAGAATTTGGATGGCATGAGGTCAGCACTGGCAAGATGGAAAGGCTCTAACTGTGAAAATCAGCTCCTTGTTGCACACCACAGTAGAGCCTTGTGCCAATTATATGTACTTCTTGTGATGGCGTCTTATATAGTGTCGTTCACTATAAAACGTCGATCGCGTCATCGTGGGCCGCAGCTACTGCGATATTAGGTGAGCTGTATTCACGCCTTATGCGCATCGTCGTTGTGAATCCTGAATAAGCAACTCTTTCCCTGTACAGAGATGCTAGGCATTCTCCAGTCGGTACCCTGCAGCCTTCATTATGCCGGCATGCTACCGATTCTCGCTCTCAAAACTTCCGAGAAGAAAACTATGCCTATTGACATAAGTGAAGAGCTGATGCTTATCATTTATTTATCATTTATCATTTATTTACATTCACCATTATTTAGAACCCCGAAAGGATTAGCGGTTTAATGAGTTTGGGCTTTCTTGATAGAAATGAAAGTTATCATTTGCTGAAGACTTGATTGAGTTTATGCAATAGACTGCTATTAAGTAAGCTGGTCATACAATGATACAATGTGCACGTACCACTACAAATAGAATTTGTAAGTAGGGACGCTCTAGTGTCAGCGCAAGCTACGTAACGGAATCGACGACTTTTGCGTTCTGACGCCCCTTATCAGCCCTTATCAGTTGTAACCACTTTCAATCACCCACCAACAATGTCCCCGTCCCACCCCACATAACACTTGCGAGTATGGACGCTCTAGTGTCAACGCAAGCTGCGTAACGGAATCGACGACTTTTGCGTTCTGACGCATCTTATCAGCCCTTATCAGTTGCTATCGCTTCCAATCATGTACCACCAATGTCCCGGGACCACCCCACATAACACTTGTAAGTATAGACGCTCTAGTACCAATATGAACGACAAAACGAAATTGGCGATGCTCGCTTTCTAGCCCCTCTTATCAGCTATTATCAGTCGTTATCAGTTCCTATCACGTACCACTTGTGTCCCCATCCCACCCCCTATAACATATGTAAGAACCACTGCGCTATCGTTACTGTGACTCGAGCTATGAATTTCCGGTCAAACACACACACACCAACAGACACACGCTAGCCGCTTATATATAGTAGGATGGCTTTAAATGGTCTCTATATTCCTACGAATATCGCAATTATCAACCCTTATCGGCCCTTATCACTTCCTGTACCCCACCGAACGTGTTCCTGTCCCACCCTGTACATCACTTCTTGGAACCAATGCCCCACTGCTGTGGGGACGCGCGCTATGAATTTCGTGAAATTTGCGTTTCAGCGCCTTATTATCAGGTCTTATCATTCGTTATCACTTTCTGACCAAGTATGTTCCCTACCCACCCCCTAATCATATCGAAATTCGCTTCGTCCTGGCCGGGAACCGACTATGATTCGTAAACACGCAAAACAACACACACACAACATACATGACGACATAAGCGCAGCTTATTAAATATAGTATCAAGGAAGTTTGGCTACATGGAATGGGCTATTCATACATTTTGATACAAATTAACGATCTCCAATGGCCCTGGGAACAGCTTTTCTTCTTTTTCTCTTTTTTATTCGGAATCATCGCTGTTCCATGTTGTGGGCGAACAAAGTACGGCGGTTAGGTACATCATCATCATTTTCTGTGGAAGAACTTCACGCACTTCAGCATTTTAGGTGTAGACTACGCAAATGCTTTCGATGTCGAAACATCAACATCTGCATGTGCATTGATGCACTCCGAGTTATAAGGATACATTGAAGCTCGAGTTCCGGTATCGGAGAAAGAAAGCTATGTGGCTGGATCGCGTATCAAAATCTCTCGTTATCCCAGCTGTTCGTGTCGCCAAAAGCTCTTACGCTTTTTTTAAACGCGTGCGGCTGACGCAGAGCTACTAATCGATTAGTTTTCACAACGGCGTTTACAGTATACTTCACAATATGCAACATATATCACCGCAGAGTCAGACAGAGCAGCAGCTGAAATGGCAATGTTTCACTGAGACCACATTGCAAACTATCCCCGTAATGTCAACTGCAATGCTTGAAAGCACTATATAAATGCGAGAAGATGGTAACAGCCACATCCACCGGCAGCTTCCCCTTTCTCATGACCAATGAATGTTTTCAGCTTTACATTTCAGAATGAAGGTACTTGCATTTGCTGTACTTGTGGCCGTATGTGTGGAAGCAATGCCAGAGCAGCGGCACAAATCGCATTCTCTCCACTCCTCTACAGAGAAAAGAGAAAAACTTTTCGAGAGACGCAAAGTGAGTAGACCTTTCAAATGAAGCAGTTTTTCAAGAAGGATCATTTTCAAGTCGTTTAAGAGAAAAGCTGTTGATGAAAATGAAAATGAAATGGGAGACACGATTGAGGAAATCAACAAGAAAAGCGGGGTTGCAGACTCGCTGTACCAGGGAGATATTCTTCTTACAAGGCTAGTTTTTTTTCGTTTCTGCTAACTTCTCTGGCAAAATTTTGAGCAATATTAAGGGAGCAGAAAGACCAATTGGAACTCCGTTCCAAACGGCAAGCAATGAGCGTCCTAAGTAGAAGATGGCCTAACAAAAAGGTCCCATATATGTTTTCTAATACAAGTCAGTCGCTCTTAAATTCTGTCGCGCGTGTGACGAATGAGCAAAATTTTATTCATGTTCAGACGAAAAGGTCAAGGCTGCCTTCAGAAAAGCAGCGCAGTTATGGAGGGACGACACGTGCATTGATATCAAAGAATACAAGATTGGAGGAACCGGGTTTTAGTAAGTGGCAATATGTTGTTTTCAAATTTTGATAGCTGTCCTATTCTGCCAGAAAAAAACGCCCCCCTTGCCAACATCCCATATCCACGCCACAACGATGAGATAAAACACTGGTCCTTCACAATAGAGAGCTAGTGCTTCAGCTGTGAATTTCCTTGACGTGGCCGATGGAGACGGATGCGTTTCGCAAGTTGGTAAACCAAAGAAGGTCCGCAGGCACTCACGCTCGGCGAAGGCTGTGGAACGGTATGAATTTGAAGACCTTTCTGTCCGTTATACTCACATTCCTATGGAGAGATATCAGTCAGCAGCAAATTTGCCAACAAAACCCTTCGTCCTGCTGCAGGTCGGGATTGCTGCTCACGAAATTGGTCATGTACTTGGATTCTTCCACACCCAATCAAGATATGACCGTGACAAATACATCACAGTCAACGAAGACAATATTAAGGTAAGGTCTGTGAGTGCTGCAGAAGGATTTTAATCACGCGACTACTTTAGCTTGACTGGCGTGACCAGTTTGAAAAGCAGGAGGAGGCACTCAACAATAACTATAACCTGACATACGACTACGGTAGCATAATGCATTACGGATCTAGAAGGTAGAACAAATTCAAGAGGTATCTGGAGGATATGAGTGAGCAATTTTAGTCCTAACGCTGCCATTGACGTCAATCGGCGTGTTATGGAAGCTATTGATGGTAATTATACGGAGACTCTTGGGTCTGATATCATATCGTTTTACGACCTGCTTATGATGAATAAACTCTACGATTGCCTCGGTAAGTAATGCGCGGGAAAATTTTGTGCGCCCCATAAGTGCACGAAGTATAATGTTTAAGGCGCATGCGCAAACAATGAAACCAGCTTGCCAGAATGATGGATTCCCTCATCCTCGAAACTGTTCCAAGTGCGTTTGCCCTAGCGGGTACGGTGGACCCTTATGCGGGGAAAAGGTGACTTGTCTTTTACTAGTGTCTGACGATTCACTTGAAGACATTTACTTAGCCATCCAATTGTGGTGCTGAACTAGGAGGCTTCCCCGAATTGGCAAACGTTTGAAAAGACTTTGGACGCTGGGGAAGACGGTGAGGAGCTGGACGAA